ATGTTTAAAGTGCATTGCCTACATTACACCCTGTTCTCCACATTTTGAGCTAACGTGATAGAGTTAAAAATGGAAAAGGATATTTGTTAGCTTCCATCACAGCAACAGCAGCCTGCCTCTGCTGACAAAGCAGTTATGTCATCATCTACTGCTAGGTGCTTTTCTGCCATTAGCTATGTGACATGTAAACCCTTTAAAAGACACCACCAGGCATAACTTGCCCTCACTACATCTCTTTACATCTCTTGTCTCTCGTCTAGCTTGCCTCTTACTCCCCTGTTTGTCTCTTCTTTCCTCTCTTGCTTCTCAAATTCCTCTTGTCTGTCTGCCCCTCTCAAGTCCCCACTCTGACATGGTCTTTCACTCTTCTACCCCCCACTCCCAGTACACTTCTTGTACTAGCTCTCTTGTATGTGGCACATGCCAGATGCCTCCAATAGCCTTTGCCTCCACTGAGTCTGGTAGCTAGAGATTTAGGGCATCCATGCCTAACAGAGCCGTTATAGTCAAAGTATTTCACTAAAGAAAACCCAACCTACTCAAAGGTTTATATGGCACTGACAAAGGGTCCTGTTGGCAGAAGTTTCTGTCCCACCCAATCCTGTAGCTGTTCAGTACCAAATAAACACACAGAAGCTTATATTAACTATAAACTGTTTGGCTGATGGCTTAGGCTTCTTGCTGGCTAGCTCTTTTTTGGTTATTAAACCATTTCTATTAATCTGTGTATCTCTGCCTGGTCTGTGCTTACTGGTTATGGCCAGACCTCTTCCTTGGCAGCTACATGGCATCTCCTTGATTCTGCCTACTACCTTTCTCTGTCCCTGTTTGGATTTTCCACCTGGCAAAATCCCGACTTTCCATTGGCTGAAACAGCTTTATTCATAAACCAATAAGAAAACATATATTCACAAAATACAGAAGGACATCCCCCATCAGGACCCAAGGCTCCCAATCATATGTGGTTTCCCCCAGACAACTACTGTGATTAAGTGAAGAAAAGGATAGAATCAGAGGACATCCAGGACAAACTGATCTGGACCTTAAAAGTACCTGACAATAACTTTTGTCTCTGTATGGTACAGTGAGGATTTATGTCTTATCAGACTGAGCTACACATATTTTTAACAGCAGTTATAATTTTAAAATATGAGGTAAAGTCCTAATTGCTCACAGCATATAGTTTAGCTTTAAATAAAATAGGTATTCATTCAGCAGCCATAGCTAAATATTACCAGTAAGAATGTTAAAATTTCTTATTTTTATTGTGGGATACAGGGGTACTCTGTGTTGTCCAGCCCTGGCTGTCCTGGAACTCACTCTGTAGACCAGGATGGCATCGAACTCACAGAGATCCACCTGCCTTTACTGTCAAAGTGCTAGGATTAAAGTTGTATGGCCCCAAGCCTGGCTGAATGTTAAATTTTTACCTTCCAATGATCTTGGTTGAAATGGCAGAAAATTTATTATGGATATTAATCGTAACTTGGTGTCTTAGTTAAGGCTTCTATTGCTGTGAAGAAGCACCATGACCACAGCAACTCTTATAAGGGAAAAACATTTAATTGAGGTGGCGGCCATTATCATCATGGTGGGGAGCATGGCAATATGCAGGCAGACATGCTGCTGGCTACATCTTGATCATAAGGCAACAGTAAGTAGTGGGTTGAGGAAGTGGGCATGGCTTGCTCATACAGGAGACCTCAAAGCCAGACAGTGACATATTTCCTCCACTAAGACCACATCTACTCCAATAAAGCCAAACCTCCTAATATTGCCACTCCCCATGAGGTTATGGGGGCCAACTCCATTCACATTACCACACTTGGGGTACCAAGATAGGATCTTTAATCTTCTCACAGACTTTAGACCCTAGGGTTAGCAGACTGTTCACGAAGGTCATACTGCTCTAGAGAATTTATATTCAATTGGATCAGCTTTTCATTCCTCCATGGGTACATTGCCAGCATGGAATGCTCAGCTGGGTAAGTAAGCATCTAAATACTAATGAGTGACTCATCCCTAGTGCACACAGGATTGTATTTGACATAAAACCTCACTGAGCCGGCCAAGAATCCTAAAAGCCAATGAAAAAGAATTACCTTTGAGTAATTGTTATCTCCAAGAATACCCGAGGTCTACTATGGCACAGGTTTCTCGTGTGTAGCATGCATTCTCATCTACTCACAACTTGGAATTGGTACGTTTGATGTTTGTGCTTCAGTTTTCAAGAGCTTAGAGAAGATTATCTGGAGGTCCCACAGTGTGCCTGCTATAATATAACACGGATCATGTTATACTTCTGCTTTGCAACTATCTCTCCCTCTCAGTCAAGGTAAAGGAAAATTCCATTGTAGAGGTTGTAACCTGCAGGGCTTTAGGCTCTTGGATGCCCCTGTGACTTCTCTGGGATCACTTCCCACAGTTCTCTACCTCCCTCCATCAGCTCCAACCATGCTGCCTTCCTGGCTGCTTCTCCTCACTCATGCCAGGTCTTCTCTGGCCACTGAGCTTTAGCAACTGTCATCCCTCTACCTGGAATGCACATTCTCCTTGACTGATGCTAAAGGGCCACTCTCACTACCTTCATGTTTTCATTCCAAACCTAGAGGCTCCACGAGGCCTTTCCCAGCCACTGTGTTTCTTTCTGAAAAGAGCATTCTCCCTGGAAATTCATTTCCTCACAACCAGCCTTGGTGTGCCTTCTCTTATCACTTATCAGTATGAAAATGCTTCATATTGACTTAGGCACTACCTGGCCACTACACATCCCTGCACTACAAAGAAAGCTCCATGACGATAAGATCTGTTCATCTGCTGTGTCCAGAACAGTGCCCAGCAGAGCCCACCCAAAGTGTTTATGGAACCAAGGTAAAACAAATGAACGGAGAATCTGTGGGATCAAGTGTGTGAAATCAGACCAGTATCCCTGGGTCTGGCCCTAAAGCTACAAATGCAGCTCCCACCAGGGCATGGGCTTGCATTTTTTCAGTGAGGCAGGGCAACTGGAAGCATGGCCAAGTGAAACCTTTCCAAGGTCAAAATGATACAAACCCTTGCTCACACCAGGATGCTTGTATCCTTGTGGGGACGTGGGTCCTATTCCAAGGTGTTTATGTGATATGAACTTACCAAAAGTCTAATTGGATGCAGAACACAACAGAAAGAGAATGATCAAAGAAAACATGGAGTTAGCAGAAATGGTCCCTGGAGGACCCCCTGGTGCTGGCTAGCAAAACCATATGATGGAGGAAGGAAAAGTAAACCTGCCTGGTGAGGTGTGCTTGTCTTGTGTCATTCTTGGGGAAGTGAGCCTACAGAGTCAATACTTGCTAGGTGGTTAGCATCAAGGAGATTTGACACCTTCTTTCAGTGTCTGGGAAATCCTGGATTCCTCCATGTGTATCCTTAGGAAGACCTCAGCAGCAGGAACCAGAAGCACTCTTCTCTTTGGAGGCAATGGCTGAAAGAGGAGGCCGAACACACACAGTGCTCTCAGAGGGACTTCAGAAAGATGGGGAATGACAAGAGAGAGCAGAAGAGGAGGGCACGGACCCATGTTCAGGACTCCACAGTTGTGAGGCACTTTACTGCCATTGCCAATTCCTCTTTCCACAAACCACAGCCCTTCCACGTGGCAGTGTACAGCCAAAGGAATTACTTGGGCAAAGCCATAATTCCCAGCCCTACCCAATCCCTTGGGGGTTATACCACCCTCTCCCAAAAGAGAGGTGCACACAACCCCTCTCCACCAGGGCTGTCTCTGAGTTTTAGAAGGAAGGGGGAGCTAGTTTGGTTAGAGGAACCTAGGGAACCTAGAAGGTATCAGTTGCTACATGCTTTGCTGGGGATCTAACTGGAATGGGATGCCTAAGGAAGGGCGGTTTCCCTTTGCCTGGTCACCGAATGGAGCCACCTGTGGCTTCAGGCAGCTGTGACAGAGCATGGGCTGCCAAGTTCTCTCCATACCATGGAGACATGAGGCACAGCCATCAGATGTCCCCTCCCCCTAGGAAGGCAAGGACTCTTCCAGCAAGAGGAAGGACGGTGACACAGGACTGCTATTCCTGGATTCAACAAGGATCCATTTTCCCAAAGAAAGTACTTGCCCTTGGCCCAGAGGTAGCCTGGAACTCTCACTAGTTTGCTTAGGCTTCAGATTGTGTCAGATTCTCTGAAACCAGATGAGTCTGATAGGCAGGTACAAATCTGACTTTTGGTTCCCTTCCTTCAGTGACCCTCCAATGCTTGTGCTTTGTTTGCGAGGTAACCATTGCTGCCATGGACAGCCAGACAGAAGAGTGTGGATGCCTCAGAAGGCCATTCTTCCTGGAATTGCTCCTCCCACAGTTACCTTCTTTAAGTGTCTCTATCTCCTAGGCATGGATCCTCCTGGCCTCCCAAGTCCCAGAGCCTCTCTCCCCTCAGGGTCCTCCCTGTTGAGCAGACTTGAGTACCCTTACTGTGTACCTCTTTTACATTGTTCTGTTTTCTTCTACCGAGTCCCTTCTGGTTTCCTGAGAGCCAGAAGGTGCCAGAAGGCTTCCCTCTGTTTTCCCTCCTTCCCTTCCCAACCCATGTTTCTTCCTTCACTCTGTCCCTCCCCTCATTCTGGCCTCTCTCTCATTCTGGCTCCCCTCCACCTCTCCCTAGGCAGTCACCTCCTCCTGCCCCCTCCTCCACAGCCCATCTCCAGTTCCTTCTCCTCCTCCCCCCAAGACCAGACCAGCTAAGTCCCATTCCATTTTTAGATGACTGATTATGATACGAGCTCTCTTCTCTCACAGGCTGAATTGACAGCTGTTCCATCTTTCCCTGCTCCACCCACCAAACACACCCAGTCTTTTCCACAAGGCACAGTGCTCACAGACAACATGCCATACCCACAGAAATGTGCATTTGTCAGGACAACCAACAGCTAAGCCTATGGTGAGCTGCCAACACAGTCAGAAACAGCAGCCTCTGCATTGTGTACGAAGCACAACTTTATTTCAACAGTTGTCACATAACTTTGGCAAACAATTCACATCTTTTTCACGAGGTCATAGACATAGATGTGGAAATCATCCTCAAATTTTATGAAATATACAGATGGCCTGGCTTCTACCTGATGGATCACAACGCCAACTCTTTTAGAGCCATCCTGGTTGGCGTATTCTACACTTTTCCCAATAAGGTCATCCCTCACTTCCATGTCTACATCTGGTGGAACAATCTCATCCATATCTGGGATGATACGTAGGTCTCCCTCTCTAAAATCATCCAATAGCTCGTACATGTATAATATTGGGTCTTTTTCATAGGTAATATAAAACCAGCTCTTGAAGACTGGGGCTTGGGAAAGGACCATACCCTTCCATTGTTTCCGAAGCCCGAGTTCCCCCTCGAAAATGTGTTCCACAGCCCTGCCGATGATAGTATTAGCGAGGATGGGATCGGGAACTTGGGCTGAATCTACCTTCTCAGGATAAACCTGAAGGGCCAAAATTCTGTCATCTCTGGTGAGTTCTAATCCATATACACAGTCAACCCCATCATATTTCACCAGATAAAGAAAGGGGTTGATAGCAACTTGTTCGAGGACTGTTCCTCTCCAAAATGTGATCATCCCACCATTTTCCCTCCAATGATGGGAAATTCTGCAGCCCACGATGTTATTTTGGGCTGGAGATGGTGGTCTGTTTGGCCTTCCCTGGGCAGCGTTTGCGTTGATGGCACTTGCAGCCCCGTTGGTGTTATGATCCTCCTGCCCATCTCTAGGCCTGCTGGGCTGCTGTTCAATAACCTGGGCCCTGCTATCCAGGTTACTCGGTCCGGGTTCCATGTCTGAGGAGGGGAAAAAGGAAGAGACAGTTAGCTAAGGGGCCAAATGGCCAACATCTTCTGTTTGGAAGCTTCAGCACTGGCGCTGGTCCTTAACCGCCCCCAAGAAGCCTGAGGACAAACCTGGCTGGGCACCTGCTGTTGTGCTGTGCATCCCTAGCTTCCCTGAGCCCCAGCGGGGCAGCGGATAACCAGCAGGATTAGGAATTCAGTGTCACCAGAACTGGCCACTTAGTCTCAGCAACCTGAGCCCAGGCCCCCTGGGGCCCTGGCGTTAACATGTTTGGAGGAGGAGAGAAGTGCACCAAAGCGCCTTTCCCCCTTCACCTTGTCTTTCTTAGTGCCCTGAGCGTCCCAGCCTGGGGCTCACAGCCCTGGCTGCAGACCCCAGCCGCTTCCTGATACTCACCTCTGGGCTCCTCCGAGGTCATTCCCGAATCTATGCCTGGCTCCTAAAGCCGCCCGGGTCCTCCTCCCCGTGTGGGCCACTTGCCCACTGCTACTCAGTTTCTCCCGCCGGCCCATCCCCTCCCAGGCCCGTCTCCTCCCACACGGCCCCTGCTTGACGCCCACCTAGGAACTAGTCTCGTAGGGCGTCCTGTGTCTTTGTAAGGTCCAGTTTATACCGCGTTTCCTTCCAAAAACGCAGGACCACTAACTTGCTCCAGAATTGCTTCTAAGTTTAGCTCAATGAACTATAGTAGGATTTCTGGTGATTAGATAAAAGTCAGCATTCCTCAGGAACTAGTGGAACTGGTTTGTCAGCCAAAAGGAGTCATTCCCATTGTGTCTGCCTGGAGGGTTAAATGGCTTGCTACTGACACATACCTCTGACTGCATATCAAAGCCCTTGCTGGCCTACTCCTTCTGTCCCTTTTCACACATATTTGTTAAACCCCTTAAAGCCCAGGCTTAGATCCTGGCCCTCCTGTTTTGCTCCTCTGTCCTAAACTCCCAGGTTGCTCCAGATCATGGGCTTCCCTACCACACAGCTCCTTATTTTCCTTATAACCCGCATGATTTTTCCATGCCCTGCATTAGACCTTGGCTTATGTCTAGTCTATTTCATTTTCTCGTTACTCTGGTTTCTGCCAGATGCCTCTGGGTGTTCTTTTTCTCTTAGCTACAATAAAAACCTTCCATCCTTAGCCTGGAGCATCCACCTAAGTAGTCCCTTTACTGTGCCCCTAGCTTACACTGTCAAATTCATATATAAACTCAAAATTCACAAAGTTTGGTCATAAATACGTTTCGGTAACAGATAATTTTGTGAACACATTGTGTGCATATTTATAAATATACATTAATATACACTGATAATGATTTTTGTCTATGATGATGTGGATATCCAGTGTTCCCAACTTGCAGCTCAGTTCAGTTACATTAGGCACAGACATAATTCTTTGTATAGCATACTGACATACACACCTGTTTACATGTTTTGAATTTCCTTTCTTTTTTTTTTCTTTTTCTAGACAGGGTTTCTCTGTGTAACCTGGGCTGTTCTGGAACTCTGTCTATAGACAAGGCTGGCCTTGAACTCATATAGATCTGTCTGCTTCTGCCTCCCCAATGGTGGGACTAAAGGCATGTGCCACCACCTCATGGCTGCTCAGTGTTTCTTTAAAACAGTATGTATGTATACATTAGATCTGAATACCTGTTTTGAAAAAAAACTACCTTGTTTTACCTGTAAGTTATGTTCATTGTGATTTCAATTTATAAATAAATTGGTTAGTTCCTCATACATTGTTATGGGTGTGATTCATTTTTCTGCCCTTTCTATGTATGTACATTTTGTGGTACACAGAGTATAATTCTGGAAATAATATTAGATGTTGTATAAGCGTGCTTTCTATTACATTTCAGTAAAACAAAATAAGATTTGTTTTTCAACTAATGGATTTTTTTTTTGTTTGAAGTATCTGACAAATGCCACAGGTATTAATCTAGGTACTCAGTGTTAAGGACTGAATTATTTTCCCATCAAGTCATATTTTAATCTGAGCACACAGACCCTAAGAATGTGACTTGTTATGGAGATAGGGCCTTTGTACAGGTAATTAAGGCAAATTCAATCAGATATATCTGTTCTAACCCTATATAATTGGAGTTCTTATAAGAAATTAGAATACAGGGACACTCAGATTAGGTCATCCAAAGTCAGAAGTGGAGACCAACACTTAACATCCAAGAGAAATGCCCTGAAAAAAGATAAACCCTTTATTAAGACTTAGGAAGTTCCCAATTTTGAGAGAAGTTATTTGTTGTTTAAGCCACTAAGTCTATGCTACTTTGTCAAAGCAGCCCTGGCATGCAAATACACTGTTATGCCGCCAAAAGCCAAATTTTCCTCTGATTTCTATTTTGTGTTGTCACTTTCACCTAGAAACTTAGAGCCATCTAAAAGTTTAGCAGACAAATGCTTTCTCATTCACAGATACTGGGACAAATAGTCAGTTCATCGTAACATCTTAATAAAAATGTTCTTTCAAAATTATTTTGTATTATTACAGGTCATTTGCCTCCCATTGTAATACAGCCTCTCCCAATTTTGTGCCAAGTTATTTTAGATCCATTTTATACGCTGATTTAAGAACTAAGCACATTTAGGTAATAATGTAGTTTCATTTAGTTAATATGTTTATCACAAGAAAAATCCCACTCTAAATTTGGAGGCAATCAACCCACACAAATTGTCTAGGTATTAAACAACAAAAAGGATCGATACGGGGGCTATTGAGGTCATTGATGATATTCATAGCATCTCTGAGTTATTGTTTTAAAAGATAATTGAAATTTTCCTATTATTCTTGCCAAATTGTTTCTCTTGTGCCATTCCTAACAATTTACTTATTTAAAACTTTTTAATGCCTCATTTTCAAGCTATTGTTGTACTTATAAGATTTGTGGTGATGTGTCCTTTTGGGCAGTTCACTTTTGAAGGTCTTCAGAGAATTGGATCAGCTCTATTTATCACTATATTTATACATTCACAATTTTGAGTTGTCAAACCTCATAAAGGTAACCACTAGAGAGACACTAAGTGTTCAGGACATCAAAGTTCATATTGGGTTTAGAAGCTCAGACAGATCTCCTGTGCTGAAAATGCTTTGGAACTTTTAGTACAAACTTATTCTGGAATAACTGATGAGTATTAGCATACATACCATTTTACCAATGGCATAAAGCCTTTGATTTTATGTTATAAAGTATTTCTTCTACCACCATCACAGCTAAAAAAACTATTCATTGCCCAATGATGGCCTCTTAGACACTGACCACAAAAGGACCCATTTCCCAATTTTTTGCACTTATCCCCCTTTTTACATTCACCAAACCATATAGGTTTTAAGGTCAATCAATTATCCTCATGCTCACTTTTCTTGCTCTTCTTTATCTCTTTCTCTAACTAACTGACATCATCTTGCTATCTTTGTTCTTTGGTTCCCACTATCCACAATTATATGCCTATTATCATTCTTTGAAACAGTTATTGTACCTCTGCCAGGCCAGAATCCTCAGAATTCTATAGCAGTTCCTTTATGTTCCACTATCTAAATTGGCCATACATCTGTTGATAGAATTTAGCAACATTCTACAGACTAAGCATATATGATAGTATTGCGTGGATTTGTAATATAAACTTAATCTGGAACCAAGCACAAGAATTGTAGTATTAACTTAATCTGGAACAAAACATCTATGTTTTTTTGGTTACTAGTCTAGCCTTTCCATTCTAAAGCACAGTTATCAGGAGACATAGTTAAAATGATTTTAAGAATGGAGTAAAGGGAATGTTACTGAAAGTATCCCTGATATTGTCCCATTACATCATACAAAACCCGTCACATTAATTAGTTTGTTGTACTGGAAAGTAAGGACCCAAGATCACCATGCTTGGTTCCTGGTGATCTGCCTCAAGAGTGTTGTGATCAGCCAGCTCAGAAGCACAATGACAGAAAGATAATGTGTTTGTGGAGGTTCTCACTGTGTGTGTACAACTCCTTGCAAGGCCACTTCTCTCCATGAAGCTATATGACAGTCTCTATTAGTCAATGTTCTATTGCTGAGAAGAGTTATGATAACCATAACAATTGGAGCTCCCTTACAGTTTCAGAGATTCAGTGCATTATCCTCATAGCAGGGAACAGGGTAGCCTGTAGGCAGATGTGGTAGCTGAGAGTTCTATATCTGGATCTGAAGGCATGAGGAAGAGAGAGAGCCACTAGGCCTGGCTTGGGCTTCTTAAACCCCAAACAACATATTTCCTTCAATAAAGCCATACCAATCCCAACAAGGCCATACCTACTTGCAAAGACTGCCATTACCTAAGCATTCTGATGTAAAAGCCTATGGAGGCCATTCTTATTTAAGCCGCTACATAAACTGTCTATTTTAGTATTGTGGAATCATTACCATATCTGTAGCTCATCGCTGACAAAAACTTCATTATGTAATACATAACGGCACATAATAAATATGTTGTTGTTGATTTATCTTTAGTGTGCAATAGAACACCAGACTTTTTCATTGAGTTTTGTACATCTATATAGTGGCCTTTGGTCATTTTCACAATCCATTCCCTTCTCTGATTCTCCTTCTTCCACTAGAATCTCTCTCGAGTGCCCCACCTATTTTCATGAATTATTTTTGTTTGCAGCCAAACAGTTTCTTATACAAACATGGGTTGGGGGGCAACTTAATGGGGCAAGGATAATATACCAGTGGCTACACCACTAAAGAAAATGACAATCCCTTTCTATAAAAACAGTTAACTGCTAAAATGGACAGGGAGGGGTGGGGGCATCTTGGTCCCTTCTCCATCCATGAGGAAACATTAATGCATCTGGCCTTGTATAGATCTTGTGAAGAACAAGTGAGTTCATGAGTGCAATGTTTTCCTGGTGCCTAGAAAACAGAGTTTTGCTCTATATTGTCCCATTCTCTCACCTTCTTCCATTTTCTAGTGTTCCTTGATCCTTAGAAGGGAAGGTATAAGTTGAACACTCCACTGTCGACTACTGGCATAATAAGGTAGGAGGAATACACTAGAAGAATACACAAAGGAAACACTTTAAGATATTAATATAAGTAATAAAACCAACAAAGTCAAATGTCATTAAATTGAACTAATGTATATCTGGACAGCTAATGGAATAATCAATACAATGAAGAGACCAATACAGAGTGCAATAAAAACATCTATTAGGGCCGGGCATTGGTGACCCACACCTTTAATCCCAGCACTCAGGAGGCAGATGCAGGTGGATCTCTGTGAGTTTGAGACCAGCCTGGTCTGCAAGAGCTAGTTCCAGGACAGCCTCCAAAGCCACAGAGAAGCCCTGTCTCGAACCCCCCCCTCCAAAAAAAATCTATCAGGAAATAATTCATCTGAAAAAATATATAGAGGATCACTAAATGGGTCATT